TAAAACCCAATCAAAAAATTTCCATACATTATTGACAGTGATATTGGCTTCTTGAACACCTAACCTTTGGATTAAAATGCAGACTTTCAGGGAGAACTGAGGAGGAGAAACTTGCAAAAGATCTGCATGGTCTGGATATTTATCATTGATCAATTGATCAACTGCCTCCAGGGGTACAGGATGAAGTCTCTGAGGCCCATCATAATTTTCAGGAGAATAATAACATGTATTTGGTGCCACTCCAGTTGGCAGGTGTGAAGGTTGGTTTTTGCAAGTCCGGTACACTACAAAGAATATAATGTTTTCTGGGCAGAAAACACAAATATTGATATACAAAAATATTGGGCGGTCAGGAGGAGGGCAAAAAATCTAAAATATAAAAACGTACAAGCCACCCGCATGAAGTACCGCCCAGTACCGTTTGATCCTCTTCGGGCCAGCTCCTTTTCTTGCTATTTAAATGTCTTCCGCTGATGCTTTTCAACGTCCTTTACTCACTTCTGGTATTCATCGGGTTTTTCCCTTTGTTCATGCTTCTCAACGTGCTTTCCTTGTTTCCGGTATTCCTCGTTTTTTCATGCGCTTTCTTGATCCCATGCTTTTCTCATATATTTTGTGCTTTTTCTACCATTAAATAGGAATCTTTCAGTTTTCTGACCCGTCTTCCTTTGTTCTTGTCGTAGTGTAATTGTTGGCTTCTGAAATACTTATTACACATGGTGTTGCTTCAAAAAATGCCGATCTTTTGCAGGTCTTCATCCAAATGTTGTCTTTCCACCTTGGTCTGTGTTGCTTTTTACCCTATAAAATGGCTCATTGTACATGCCTTTCCTGAATTCCCACATCCCTCATCTTGTCTAAAATAAGTCTCTATTAACTTATCAAGTCATTATACAACTACTTTCATCATTGGTCTACTCCCTTTCAGTGTTTCAACACTTACGTTCTTGGTTACCATTATCCTCTTTGTTTGGTGTACAACTCTAAAAGCTTTATTCTTACCACCTACTTACACTTTGACACCTCAACTTATCTCCTTCTCATCCTCAGTCGCTTCATTCATATTGTCTTCTTACACTTCGGCACCTCCACATCTCTTGGTGTCCTCCTTGCCGCACGGGGAAACATCTGGTAGCACTGTTAGTAACAGTGTCTTGCATCAAGTAGAGACAAAGAACTTACTGTGTTTGATGTCAGCTTGAATTCTTGCTATAACTGAGTCCAGAATTCCAACAGGCAGCATTTGGTCGACTTTGCCTGGGTTGTTGTTTGATCAAGGCGACTATTTGCTGAATGTGTGCTGTACAATGAAGGAGTGTGTATTGGGTTGATGGCTTATCTGCTTGCCTAAAATTCAGCTCTCAAGGATGATAGGTTTGGCAGTAACAAACATGTGATCAGTCATACTTATATTTAAAAGTTTGGCATATAAGCAACTCCAATTGGTTCTTTCAACAAAACTTGACATGCAGCCGTTTTTGGAAATATAAATATTATTCACAGATGGCAAAGTAGTAAGGCGAACTACACTTTATGTTTTGCGCTCACGTGCAATAGTAGCTGTTTATTTTGGTGGCGCCGGTAGATGCTTTTCACTCTCAAAAGCGAGAGAGGTTACCTCAGGTCCCAGGATCGGGGCAAGGCAAAGGCAACAAGGAGGATCTTGCTGAATGGCAATTATAACAAAAGATGTTATAATCTTACTTTCTTAGTATATGATACAAAAATCACTGTATAAACTAGCACAGTGCTGTTTATGGTATTCAATTGAAATTTGATTGGAGTTTGCTCAAAGGGGCTGCCGCTGTGCCCCATTTCTCATGTGACATGTGGTGCATGTTCATCAATGGCGGGCGCGCCCGCTTGTTCTCTAGTACAAAAAAATATGAATATTGTTCCTGGTGTTGAAAGCTTCAAGCTGAGTATTTTTGTGTATTTTTCGAGGGCATATTGTTGAACGTACTAACAATAAAACTCATATTCATCAGATGTACACCTGTAACAGATGCTGAAATTTGGTTGCTCAGAATGGAGAGGACAATTTGAAATCTACAAATGCTCATAACTTTTGCAATTGGCGAGGGAAAAATCTCAATTATTGGTTCATTAGGAAGCTGAACTCTGTCTCCAGATCTTTCATTAAGGTGATGGGGCTGTGTCCAGCTTTGCAAAGAATCTATGTGACTTGGAACATGATATTTCAAAGTGACTATAGCTGCCTTGTGATAGAAAATGAAGCCTTGAAGCACTATTAGGACATTTAGAGAGAGACTGTGGCTTTCTAATGAGCCTAAAAGCCAGTCTTTTGAGCAAGAATTGGGAATCTTATGAGCATTTGTAGAATTCAAATTGTCCTCTCCAATCTGAGCAACTGAATTTCAGCATCTGTTACAGGTGTATATCTGATGAATATGGGGTTTTTTGTTAGTACGTTCAACAATATGCCCTCTAAAAATACACAAAAATACTCAGCTTGAAGCTTCCAACACCAGGAACAATTAGGGGATACAAAGTTAAAACTGGGAGTTTTTTCCCAGTTTCCCAGTTTCCCAAATACAGCCAAAAACCCAAACTGGGAAACTGGCAGAACGTGGGAAAGTTCCAAACACAGCCAAAAACGAAAACTGGGAAACTGGGAAAAAAATCCCAGTTTTAACTTTGTATCCCCTAAATATTCATATTTTTTTGTATTTTTTGCCCTCCTCCTGACCGCTCAATATTTTTGTATATCAATATTTGTGTTTTCTGCCCAGAAAACATTATATTCTTTGTAGTGGTATGTGTTCTTCCTTTCCATGAATGAATCAATCACACTTTGAACCCACAGGTCTACAAACAAAGCCCTACACACAAAGTTTGAAATTGTGTTTTACTTCTGCAATGCACTCTTTGGTTATACAACCCAGTATCAATGGCCAGTTTGATTTCATCATGTAGAGTCGTATTCTTTGCTCACATTAGCTGTGAACAAAGTGACTCTATCTTCTGATTGTGATTAAAAGTGGTCTAGTGGTGATGCTTCAATGCGTCTTCAACACTTTGAACAGCATGGATATGTGTAAACAAAGCTTGAAATATAACCATATCACCATTCTTGGTTCCACAATCAGTTGAAGTTTTGACTGGGAATCCTCCAGCAGTAGAAACAAGCTCTAGAAAATATAGACCAACTACTTGTGGGTTGTTGTTTGTTGTTTGCCCAACTCAAAGGCTCAAAACCTTCCTTGACCATGTGTCAATAAAGCCATAAATACATATCCCATAAGGTTTGAGTTCATCATGCCATCACTAGCCCATCAGTGATTTGGAGCTGGCGCATGGAATATTCTTTGCTTGAGAACTCCTTGACAGCAAAGTTCAATTCCTTCAGGATCAATCACCCACATCAGCTGGTAGACTGTATCACAATTGATCCTGATGTGGTGATTTATAGGGAGGTTGTGTTACATTGTCCAATATCCTGCATTGGGATCTTCACTCTCAATTACTTCCAGTAATAAATGTACCACCTGGTCCACTGTTACACGCCCTTGCTGTACATGATCACGTCACCAATTGATACCCAAAGCTTTTGACATTGTTTGAATGTTATACATATTGATTGGAATGTTGTATGCATCTTTGATTGCACACATAGCTTCCAAATGTGTCACCCCAAGGTTGTGGTATTGTTGATCTGAAGGATAAGCTTGTTCCTTCTGCTCTGGAGTCATTGATGCATGGAAAGTGGTGAGAGAAAATCACTGGAGAATACACTGAAAGGTTTAAAAAGTTGTGTGAATATTGTGATCATCAGAAATTTGGGTGACCATTGTAGCTTGGCTGATACCTTCCTCACAGTAGCCAAGAAGGATTGGGTCAAGGACACCATGTCAATTCCCCATGAGCACATCAACATGCCCAAACCAAAGATATCTTGTAGAGTGTTGATCACCCCTCAAAGATGACCTTGCAAATACCTACCAGCTGGCCTTTGTCCAAGTGAGAGACTTGTTAGACATAGGCGGCCCACTCTTGTTTGATTGGAGTCAGTTCAACCTCTTTTCTGACAAAGGGGCTGTCAAACTCACACACCTTGATGAGCTTCTATCAATCAATCATCTCTTCTACTTGTTCATCAATCAGCCAGTTCATTCTCAATCCAACAAGCCTGCCTGATTTGTCTGTTTCATGAGTGCTGTGTTGTTTGTTACCAATGGTCACATCAGAATGGCTAAAATAGTTGTCAGTGTCGGCTGACTTAATCTACTTACCTACAAAAGAGGGTCTTGGTTTTAAACAAGACTTTTGATTGATATTGTTAAAAAGTTTCACAAAGTTGGGCCTGCTCAACGCACACAGCTCAATGATCATTATTGTTTATAGAAGGTCATGTCAGAATGTGCTCTCCCAAAAATATGCAATATATCAAGTAGGGAACTCTGTTGGTTGTCAGTTGTGGTTGCCCGCTTACCCATCTGCTTTCCTGCAAAAAAAAGTCTCTGATCTAACCAAGACATGCAAAGGATGTCATAAAAAAGTTTCACAAAGCTTTGGGTTCCAAAACCACTGCACACAGGTTTAATAATTAATGCAAGTGTCTTCTCAAGCTTCACATTACCAGTTGTGCATCATTGCTCTATGATCAGAGCCAAATACTTTGAAAGAGGGCTATAAAAGACTGTGTCTTTTCATATCTGTCTATGAGCAGTGTTCTGTCACAGTTGTACTCCCCTGCCAAAGTCAAATAACCAAGACTTTGTTATCAAGCTATAAAATTCTATAAAACTATATCTAAAATGCTCACTATTCCCTACAAATTATCCCCAATGGAGTCGAGGGATGTGAAGAGATGGGCCTGTAGTGTTTGCCAAAATTGACGCACTCGGAACTGTGTCCAAAAACAAGATGATACATGTACATGTGTGTGGCTATTTTTTATTTCAAATCATACAAGATCCTTGCTGATAACGTCAAACCTCACCATTCAGTCAATTGTCAGACACCATCTTTGAGTTTTGATGTGTTGGGACTTGGAGGCATCACCCATTCCACCAAGCCTGTCAGAACACAAGCAAAAGAATCTTCTTGAAAACTTCCCAGAAGGACAGCCAATCCCTTCCACAACCTCAATGCCAGTGATTAGTGTAACATACTTTGAAAAGACTGGTGTTCACCTGAGCCCACACCGTTTCAAAGATGTTGAATTGGTGCTACAGCTCTGGGGCATTAACAGATTCTTGTTCAAATGGGAGGCTAATTTAGAAGATTGTGTCAATGTTTTGGCCAAGGGTGGTTTCTGGAACTCCTTTCATAATGCAATAAAAAATTGCTATTACAACTTCTCTGTTCACAAACATATTCTGAAACTCAACATAATCATGCCAGTCTTATTGGCTCAGTTTAAATGTTTATCTTTGATGTGTTGGGAGGAAATTGGCAACATCAAAATCCTAGACCATCATTACATATTGGCCAATAAGAAACAGGTGTTGTGTTTTGTTTCATTTTGGTTGCCTTTCAAGTTGCTGAAAAACACAAAAGCACAGGTCTGTAAAGAATACAGACAGTACTTGGTCAAATGTGGTGCTGCAAGAGGGTTGGTGTATATTTTCCAGCCACAAAATTACGCCATCATGGGCAAAATTGCAGAACTCAAATCAATCACTAGTATCTCTGATGTTAGCAAGGTACACTATTTCATACCTTCATGGTGGTCAGAGGAAATTATTTGCTTCTTCAAGGCTATTGAAGCACATGTTCACTTCTATGCTCAGTCTTGCAATGTTGATCCTCACAAAATCCAAGCTCGCTGTGTGTACATCACAAGGTCTTCAAAGCAATACAATTTCATACCTTGTCATCTGCCTGCCAACCTCTACACCAAGGAACTCAAAAACTCTCTACCCATTGGTGATTTATGGGCACTCAAGATGAGACTCTTGATTTTGGAATCCATCCTTCCAAGTGACACAACTGAGCTTGTGGACCATTCTTTGGACAGAATTGCTGATGAGCATTACTCAAGCGACAACAAGATTTGCAACATTGACACCAATGTAATCTCTGAAACCCCATCTCCTAACACCAACCTGGGAGAGCTGGGAGCTTGTGTCAACACTCAAATCTCTACTTCGAGGTTTTACTTGGAGAACTCAGTCACCACGTTCTCAAATTACCAGACAAAATTGAATGGCATAGTCCCCTTGCGCTTGGAAGAATTGAATAAAGCAAAGGCTGACATTGCAAACCTCAATAGGAAATTCAAAGCTATGGAAGCCAAGTTAGGAAAGACAGAAACTGAAAAGTTAAATATTGATGCAGCTCAAACTGTGATTGACAACTAAATCCACTGTGAGGTGTGTTGACTTTTTGTTGTCAAGGCATCATGTTTCTTTTACTCTGTGATGTGAAGCTGACTACAAATCTTTATCAGGCAAAGATATAGTTCCATAGTCAATGACCCAAGAAACAATATCACACATGTAGGAGATGCAACTGGAAAAATTTCCCAAAGTTCACACTTTTATCTTATTTTCATATAACATACATGTCCCTATCTCAAGTTTGTTCAGCTACAATATCTTGTAAGATAATTTCACCCCAGAGATTCTAGAAATTTGATATTTTACACTCTTCTATCCAGAGAATCAAAGAGCTGTGGAGTTGGAATTCAAGTTGCATCATTTTGTTAACTGCAGCCTTTGTATATTTTGAGTTGTTTCACACCTATTGCGTGCATGTCTGCATAATCTATAGTTGCTAGAAAATTTAGGAAATAGATACACATAATAAATCATTCACAAGAAGAGTAATATTTACAATCAATCAATGAGACAACATATACAAGAATCAATATCCACTTTCCATCTACAACTTGTCCAGTTTTGCGTGAACCTGTTGTTCATATCCTTTTTGTGTTCCTTGGTATATGACTCCCATTTGTTCTGTGACATACTCTTTTTCTTTAACTTCAATGCCTTTCCCATATTCAACCACCTAGAAGAAATTTGACATGAAGAGCCAAACCAGGTGATAAGTGCTTTTGTTGGATTGATATTTTCACCCAATCTTTTGGTGGTAGTTGACTTGTGTATTCCATACCATTTCCACAATACCATTACACTCATCAAAGTTAATTCCTGCAGAGTAATCCAACGAAGAGAAGATAGAACCATTAAGGTGAAAGTCACCGGGTGTTTTGATGATGTCGTGAAGTTGTCCAGTTGATCTATTGACTCCAGCAAACATTCCAAAAGCATATGGTTTAGTATCCCCGTCCAAATGTGGTTTATTGTGAAAATTATCACATGTAATTGCAACATTTGAAGCCCATACTTTCCCGTTGGCAGATGTCTCCCATTCAGGAGAGTCAAAAGATGGTACATTTGCGTCAGCTGCGATCTTGGAATTTGCTTCAAAATCTCTCCTTGATAGAGTTGCAAATCTCTCTGCTCAGAAATCTTTGGCACAAGGGATATGGAGTCCATTGCACTCCACGTCCAGCCAAACTCTTTCCTTTGAATTAGATGTCGTGCTGTTCAGAGCATAATGACCTACGTAAATTACCGCACAGTCAGCTGACATTGAATGGCATAAAATTTCAAATTGTAAACTTACAAACATCCTTCCGGACATCAGCAGCAATGCCTGCGCCGGACTGCCAACCTAAAGCTCTCATGTGGCCGGGATTTTTGATACCTTGAAATTGAATAGCATGATTTTTGGTTACATGTCCTCTTGAAATCCCATGCATATAAAATGTTGAGATTGATGAGTTGAATAATTCATGAAGCTCCAGATGCATTTCATAAAAGTTGTTGGTTGAATCAAGCTATCAATAGAAGTCCCAGAGTGGTTTTGTCAATTAGGATGACAATACCATGGTTGAATACCTTCTCTGGTGCCGAGATGAGTTCTTTCTTAGATTTGTTGTTGATAAAGAAAAACTTTTCTGTGTTGGGCAGTCCATACTCATACAAAATTTGTCTTCAACATGAGTTTTCTCTTTGAATCTTGAATTCAATACACTTTTTGTTTATTTTGTTGTTATTTTCAGTTCTTCTTGCTGCCTGGTACTTTTGCTTCAAATTTGTCTTTGGCATATTTTTTGGGTTTGTTGGTGTTGTTGGTGTAAGGTATTGATGAGTTTGAGCGTTATGTAAAGATAAAGGTGTGGAAGATGTTTGATGTGAATGTGAAGTTTGGTACCAGTATTATAATTGGCTTTGATTTGAGCTTTTAGAGGCCTAGATGGCAAGAGGCTTGAGCTTATATATGACCAACATTGATCGGATATGTTGAGGGAAGACAAATTAAGTACATTCAAAAAGCTAACCAATCATCTATCTTTCAATTACACTAACACTTGATTGCTGTTTGTTCAAGGGCAGTGTGCCATAATAATGAACCAATCATCTTTCCACATCTTTATATCAATTACACCCATCCACTGTTTGTTGGAAAAAGGTGCCTCCCACTACGCCAAATTTAAAATTTACCGCTGAGTTTAGAAAATTGAGCAGACATAGACAATTATGGAAAAGCTGGGAGGGGTCAGAACAATATGAAAAAATATTGGTTGGGCCCTTTGGTGCATTCCAATCATCTGGAATATTTTTTCATATTTTTACAACCACAATGCAAATAATGTCAGAAACCCAGATTTGGTCCAAAACTGGCAGGTAGAGAGACAGTGACCTTGCAACACCAACAAAATCATCAATTTTGCTCCAACACTTGTAGTGTCTTGACATTCTGAATGCCGCATTCTGGCTCTACAGTTTTTGTGCACAAAAAAGCTGTGTGTCTCCAAGAATGGGTGAGATATATCAAGAGACGTACACAGCAGGAACCATATATAAGCATAGAAGTCATTACTACAATGGCTTCAGCACGTTAATAAACCTTGTAGAGCCATCATGCGACTTCCATAAATTGCAAGTGTTCAGATGATTGAACAAAAATACTCATATTTTTGTGCTTGAAGGTTTTTGCCCAAATATTGCTAGTTTTGGACCAAATTTGAGTTTCTGACATAATATCCCCTGTGAGCATTTTGGTTTGGGGAGACTTCAAAAATCATGGCAAAAATATGCAAATATATGCAAAATGAGGGGACAGCACCCATGAATTGAATCATTATTTTTTCAAATTTTTCCGACCTCCCTTGTATTGGTGATATTTTTCTACAGTTTCAATTTTATAAACTCAGCGGTAAATTAGTGATCTGGCGTAGTGTCCCCATCAATGAACAATTTTTCTTCAACAAATGGGGCTTTGCTAATTTTACAGTCATCCCATCAATCATTGAAAGATCAGCGTGGACAGTGTGCAAGTACAGGTCGTAAAATTAAATGGACGCTTAGCAGTCAGGTCAGCTCTTGATGAAGGAAATGATGCTCTGGAATAAGGTATGGTAAATGTATGATGCTTTTTATATTTAGTGTAGATTGATGAGGGAAGACCAAACAGTGCTGTGTAATAAAGGTGATCTGTACGGCCCAGTTTATTAAACACTAGAGCTTGCGCGGGCAAGCCCGCCATTGGTCTCAAAGATGGAATATATGACCCAGTTTTTGGCCTAAGGTTGTCTTAAGTTTAAGTATACGCTTAGGCAACAACATTCAGATAGAGCACCTACTTTGACGTTGGCAATTCACTAAAATATTTGGATTGTATAACATAATGTAGGATTACATGTAATGCTTGTTCAGACACATTAATTGTTTGAGACAGTTCATAAGTTACAAATTGGCCCCAGAAGTAGAGAAACTGCACTTTCAGTGTCTTCTTCAAACATAATGGTGTAACTTGAGACAGATTTCAGGGTTGTATGACAATGACCTCGGGTTCTCCAATAGCCGGAATGACGATGCTGATGTAAACCGGAGTCTCCCAATCGTCGAGTGTTATAGTTCTATCTTGTTGTTTAGGTGCAGGCTTATTTTCGGTTTCTGCAAACAAGGAATCAGCAATGAAATTAAACTTCAAACGAAATTATACGCACCTTCAAGGAATAGGAGAATATACTGCGCAATCATCCAATTGGGCACTGTATGGTCTTGAACATTGAGATTTTTCCAACGAACGAAACCAAAACCTCTCACAAACGCATTTCTATAATCGCTTCAAATAACCATTGCAGAATTAGACAATGACCTAGTTTAAAAGACGCAAGGAATTTTACGTTGATGGATAGAAGTAGAAGACGAAGCAAGCGTTTTGTGGTGAACTAAAATTTTAATGTTGAAAATCTTTGGATTTGTATGGTGCTCCAAAACATGAACAATATTAAATTGTGCCCTCCTACAAGGCCTCCTTTTTAAGTGATGAGTACATCAGCAAATGTATCATTCCATCTAACGCCTCGCAGCGCGAAAATTTATTATTCACATTTGAACTCTAGTGAGTGACCGATTGCGGAGGCCTGGTCCACACCTAAAATGGCATAATTCGGTTCCAACCAAATTCTGTTCGGCTCCTGATCCGCTTTTGTCAATAACTTACTACGTACGATTGAGCCACCTGTGGCTACTAGATCCTACTGTATGACCCCGGAGAAAATCGGGTATTTCTCATCGGAGTAACACCCTAAGCTTGCAGGCAGACTCGCGGACGCGCCAGACGAGTCTAAGGCAATTCTTCCCCCTAAGTTTTTGACCTTCCAGACGAGTCTGCAAGCTCAAAAAATCAGACTTGCGCTGGTCCACTCAAAGACACGTCTGGCCACCTCCCAGACTTGCCGAGCCCGCCAGATCAGTCTGACTCACCGATTCTACACACTACATATGTACAAGTCCAACACTGTACATTACCGTACCCTCCAACACTCACCCTTACACCCTCAGCCTCAACAAATCAATATCGAACACAATTCAACTATTCCATCATCGAAGTCACTCATTCTTGTTCAGAGACCAAATCACACAATCCTCCAACTTCACCAACTTTTACATTTACTCAAAGACAATTGTATCGTGGATGGGCCTTTGATTTCATTCCGATTAACATAAAAAACAATGTTCTCAAGAATTTAACCTCATACCAAGTATTCTACCTCATACTTAGTCTTTTGTCATCCAATACGGCTTGACTTTGTCTGCACCTCACTTGTTGTTCTACATACTCAAACGTACTCCATCAACCAATCGAATGTTTAAGAATACATTATCAATACAAGTCGCACATAAATGTGCCGTAAAAAACTTCGAACCCACGAGTGAGATTTCTGCGAACAGATACACAGCCGTCCAAATCGGAGGGTCCAAACAACTCAAGTTGAGATATGCTGAACTACATTCGTACTTTCAAGCATCGGCATCAATTCGATCTTGAATGATCACGT